TCACTTGCGCAACTCAGCCCGGTGAAAAGACACAGTATAGTTTAAGGATCTAAATGAGTATTTGACAATTGTGCTCTTGCCATACTTTTATGCATGTGCGAAAATTTTGTTTTGTATTATGTTTCTTTCCTCCATTAGTTAGAGTTTCATTTCTTTGGGATTGAATGTACTATTTAGACCTTCTGAATGGTTATAAGTTTGAGCGATAATTTGTTAGTGCGAAGGAGGGTGTTGATTACATGATGAAAGATTCCTTGATGAGCAGCCAGTGATTAAAGACGTTGTCCAGTTTTGCAACAATTACTGATGTTTGCATAACTTTGCTCATTTTCAGATTACCTTTCCACCAACCCCTCAGGGCTGGCTTACACAATTGTGCTTTTTTCCTCAATTTAGTGGCAATAGATTACAATACATTATTAATATTGTCTTATGCAGGCAGTATGCTGTTGATACAAATACTCGTAACACCACACATCAAAGAATTATGTCAAATTGCGGAAATTAAGAAAAAATGGCAACTTTATCTCATTAAGTTTCAGTGTTACAGCCGATCAATTTCGTATACTACTTTGTTTACATGACGAAAAATGAGTAAACAAATAAAAGAGTGTATTGTTGACCAAAAAAGGAATGCAACTTGGATTCCTTGGCTTGTGGTATTAATGAAATTGTTGTCAGCCCTAAGCTACTTCCATTCACTGAATTCTCTTCTACTATCCACTAAATCAATAATACTTTTTTATCATTTGTTACCATGGCAACGGCTGTTTACAATGTAAAGAAAATAATGAAATAATTTCGCAAAATTAGTGCAAAAATATTTTAGAACCAGTTTACAGATTTGTTTACAGTTGTAAACAACTAAAGAATCACTGTTTGGGAACTGTAGAAACAATAAGAAACTGAAGACGATAATCAACAGCCTCAAAAATCTTAAAATATCAATAACTTGGCCATTTTACCACCAATTTTAATGAATCAAAAAGATTATTAATCAGATTTATGTCCTCTGTAACAACAGATAAAAACATGCTGCAAAATGAACATTTTGGATAATGGGTCGCAGTTCCTACTCTGTATGCATTAATTGTGTCTTCTGGCCTGTGCCGTAGGAGGGAAACCTATGCCCAAAATTTTGGTAGTCCCTTGCTATGTGAAATACTTTTTCACAGTTTTTCCTGTCGATATGTTGATTGAAGATAAATTTCCATGGTGAAATCTATCCATTATGCATTAATTCCTGATTGCTTGCCAGCACAGGCAGGGGATAAACTTATGCTGAATTTTCTTGTTGTTCATACATTTAATTCCTTTCTTTTGAGAAAAGTGGATCATGATTACTGTGTAATTGTCTCATTTTCAATTATTAATTTTATGAATGCCAACTACAAAACTCATTTTTATAATTTTTTTTTCAGACTGTGTTATAGGGGTTTCATTAGAAACTTGGCACCAACGGATTGGATGTTTCCGTCAGAGGCCATTATTGCCATGCAAGGCTACCAGAGAGGCGAATTTTTCGCCATCTCCGATATTTGGAATGGGCACCACCACCTTCTGTGTCATCCTGCTCTCTGTACTTGACAACAGCTACATGTACATCAGAAGAAGAACAAATTGATTTAATATGCACAGTGCAAACAGTCACCAATACAACTGCTAAACTTGGTGATTTTTAGATGCATACTTTAATATTTATAAGCAGTTCAATTTGTTTACTACTTTGTTTGCATTTTCCTCCAAAAATGTATAGCATTAAATGAGGTAAACAAATTAAGCATGCAATATTTTGAATATGGAACATCCCAAGTCTCTTTTATTTGAGTCAATCAAATAGATTGATGGTTACACAATAGCTTCATATTTAAAAGCCTATCGGTATACCTTCCAATGGTCGTAAATGCGCAAACAAACAATTTGTATCGTTGTTGCCATGGCAACGACTGTTTGGGTAAAATATTTTGTTCATATGTGATCATGATGAACAACTCATTAGTAGCCAGTATAACAAATGTAGATGTCTTAGGACATATAGTTTAGAAGTTATGCCAATTTGATTTTGTTTACTACTTTGTTTACTACAAAAACTGGTTGTAAACAACCTAAATTAGGCTAAAACAAAACGGTTGAATGCATTGGGAAATGGCTACCAATTGTCATATTTCAGAAAATTTCAAATGGCCATAACTTCGCAACCGGGTAACCTGTTGACCCCATTCAAAGAGTTATGTAATCAGACTCAATCACTCTTTCCAGAAAGACATGTTTTAAACAACATGAAATAAACCTCAAAATTCATGTGCAGTCCCTACATATACAACCGAGCAAATTTTCCCCATATTGGCATAATTTTTTTCCTGCCATCACAATGTTCAATCATACTTGGTTAAACACGTTTGATAAGGAGAGATGCCTGATGAGTGGCTGAACCAACCATTTATGACAGTTTTAGAAATGATTTTAGTTGTCATGTTTGTATGCCATCTTCTATTTATATGACGGATAATTTTTCTAATGCTTGAAAACCTAATTTTCTTTGTTTAATAGACAATGGCAGAATTCACAGTCAAAGAGGAAGACATTCCCGGAGCCAAGCTAGATATAACAGTGCCTGCCCTTCAGAAAAAGAAATGCTCAGACCTCAAGTTTTGGTTAAGCTGCCGTGGACATGGTGGAGATTCTTGAAAGGGATTCAAAACCAAGGCACAGATGATAGAGAGGTGGTCTAAATAACTATGACTCTATCATTGCCTCTTTTAACATTGGGTCATGGTCAGGGAAAAGTAGAATACCAGAGCAGTTACTTTATGAATTGGTGTGACAACTAGCTTGGTGGTGCCTGTCCAGTACACTTTTGGGGGCCCAAAAATAGCACCTGACGTGGGAATAATACTGCATCTACATGTAGCTTCATTTGGAACAGTACTCAACTGCAAAATATTCAGCAACTGACTGTGTTTTTCCACATACTACTCAAAGATTGGCTTGTGGGAATTCAGAAACTCATGCCATTCAAGAAGTAGCAATGAGCTACATGAAGCTGTGTATACTGGATAAGCAAGTTCATTCACTGTATTGATGTAATAGCAAAGGTTATACGGGAGACTGCTAGTAAGCGATTCCTATTGAATGGAATAAAAGAGCAGAAATTTGAGTACACCAAAATATTGTGTCTTGCTTTTTTAAGCTGAAAGTCACATTGAATAGGGAGACTGACTCAAATAGATCATGTTGGGACATGTCAGTTCAGTTCATTTTCAACTTTGTGTCATAATACTATGTATACAATATGACCAAAATACATGCAAAAAAATTATCACAAAAAAATAAAGGTTTAAGGAATACAGAATACAGAGGCAAAACAAATAATCTTTGGGAAGACTCTTTCACCTTAGGCATCCAAATTAATGTTGCGTTCATATACAAAACGTGCCAGATTTTTCCTTTCCCTTCTTTCAAAATCTTCAAGGCTGAAATATGAAATGTTTTACTATCAAGTGAACAGCAGCTTGAAATATTAGCCCACTCAACTACATGTACACGGCAGCATTAGTGTGTTGGGACATTTTCTGCACACAAGCCCTTTGGATTAGGTTTTTACAGTGTGCTATTTTTCCTGTTTTGTGTTTTTTCACATTTTAGAATCCAGCTGATTGTTAAAAATGGCGATCAGTTTCAAATTGCTTATCCCACATCTAACAAGCAGTGGACAAAAAACAAGGCAGAGAAACACACACAATGCTCTAGACCATGCATAACCTATGGTGCTGACACCACTGGTATCCCACACAAAGGTTGTAACCACCAGTGGGGAAATGCTTCAGACTGGAGGAAGAGTTTGAGCAGCGTCCCTACCCTTACCCGTCGCGAGATCGATCTGCATGTAGATTTAGCCAACATGAAATCAAGACCCCAGAAGGAATCGACAAGAGTTTCAAAACCAGCAATACATGGTGCACACTTCAAAGCTCAGAGATATCTCAGTGCTGGTTCTATTTTCACCCGTTGGGATGACAACTTTTTCTACTGCAAGGCAATATGCTTGGCCAGTATGAAGAGCTGCTCTAGAAAGTGTTGCCATGCGATTTCTTGATGCAAACATTACTTATGCCCACTGTGACTGCCCAGCTGGCTTAGGGGGTGTGTGCAACCATATGCACGCATTACTTTTCGAGTTGGCAAGTTACCACATTCATGGTTCAAAAGCTGTACCGGAAGAGGTTGCATGAACCTCAAGACTAAGTCAGTGGGTAGTCCCAAGGTGTAAAGGCACAGTTGACGAGCAGCCGGTAATGGATGTGACAGTTAAACAGCTAAAGGTTGATGAGATGACTACAGGTTGTGGAATTGAGTCAACATTGTCTGACACACGAGTGCCTTACTGTAGAGTAAATGATAATGAAAAATTAACTGAATTTCAGCAGTCACTCTGAGAAACGTGTCCCTCAATCCCATTTTTGGATCTTGTTGAGGAGGAGGATCAAACCACACTGTACAAAAACACAAGATTTGGTCCTGCTCCACTTGGCTCACCAGTAAGCTACCGGTGTTCTATTTTTGAATTTCATTTTCAGGTTTGCAGTAATTTTCCTGAGAGGTGCTCATTCAGTGTCCAGCCAAGTTGAACAGGGCTAGATTTGAGTTTTTACCCATCATTTCCATTAACAACTGTTCCTATCTATAATATCAATTATGTCCCTGCCTAACAACTTGAATAAGACTTCTATTCTTTCATTCAACAAATTGACACAGTCAAAATAGCAAATGATACACGGAGAAAAGTTTAATCACCGACAGTTTAGATTCACAGCTTCCAAGTTTCATTCAATATTAATTTGAAAGAAGTTAGACTGCAAATTTGCAGAATGTTTTTACCTGGTGAAGAGAAACCTGTGTCAGACTTTTTGAAGAAAAAGTTCTAACATGGAATTGATTTTGAGCCATTTGCTGCCAAGAAGTATTCACACATGAATGGGTCTGGGCATGCTGTTCGTCTTGAGAAGTGTGGACTTGTGATTGATCCAAAGGCTTGGTCGTTGGGTGCATCACCAGACCGCAAGGTAGTGGACTTTTTGGCAGAAAGTCCTTTTGGAATTCTCGACATGAAATGCCCTGAAAAACAGAAAGACGAAGACCCTCTGACAGCATGTCATGATCCCCATTTCTGTTGTAAACTTGAAGGTGGCAAGCCTGTACTCAAAAAAGATCATCCATACTACACTCAAGTGCAGGGTCAGCTAGCATTAACTGGAGCAGAATGGTGCAATTTTGTTGTGTGCACACATAAAGGCTTAATCATTCAACAGATAACATTTGACTCTGCATTTTGGAACACCCTGTACAAAAAATTAGCTGATGTTTATTTTGGCTTTTAAGTAACAGTGGCTAGTGTTAAATTCCAGTCAATGTCCTCTTATACATCTACGCTGTACTTTCTTGTATTTAGACCATTTCAGTGAAAACTTCAAGCTAGTATATGTACATGTATGGTGCATACTCGGGTCTCTAACAAATTCAACTCAAGACTTCAATGTATGCACAATAAGCGTTGATGTGAATCTCATGGTTCCATATTTTTATGTATGAATCCAGGTTTACATGGGAAGAGTTCCATATACGAAGTTCACGTAACACCCTGTGTATAAACTATAAGACAATAGTCTAGAAATTGTTTTCTCATTGAAAATGCTTCTACTCTCTCACTGCTAAAATTGACTTTTCTGGCCTGTAACTGATTTCTGGGGATTAATTGATTATTAAAAAGGAAAATGAGTGAACTTTCGTATGTGGAACTCTTTCTTTTTACATTTATGAGTCCATGGATAATAATTCATGCAATTCATGAAGCGCCACAGAGATATGCCAAATGTTTTACAAAGAAACCTTACCTTACTCTACAAAGAACCAAAATGAATTGCTCTTTGGCTGACAAGTGTCCTACTCTCCCAGGTTTATTAGGGGTTCTATGTGAACTCACACAAGTGTGGTCTGCATCTTTGGTTACAGGTTGCTGTAAAACAGTGCATGATGGTACAGTTTCTCTGTCAGGAGTGTAGGCAATAACATGTTTACAATTATCGCCTGGATTCAGGAAAGACAACATGGCCAATAACAGGGAGTAGCTAGGAAAACCAGTGTAGTGTTTTGTCAAAGAATCATCGTTTTCCAAAGTATTTATGAACTTATTTTGCTCATTTTTTTTAAAAACAATTTATTGTCCTTTGCAGTCTCTGGACTGTTTCCTTCAGTGCTGTAACTTCATTGGAGTGTTTGCTCTCATTCATTACATTGATATGAGCATCACATTCACTGTGAGAGTTACTTAGGGATTCATCACTACTCACTGATACATCTACATCATCATCTGTTGGCTGTTCACCGGCTGAACAACTTGAAGTGAAATGATTTAAGTTACACCTTTAAGCACCCTGCGTTTACTGGGGGATAAACCAGACAGTACATCTTTTGGCTCAGCATCAGGTTTGAGTCACCAGATTCCATTCAGAGTTTTCCTGATGTCCTCATCTTTAAAGTGAAGATGGCAGATTTGAGTGGACTTGCCAACAACAAACCCATCACAACCATAAGCTCTCTTGATTCTCATACACCACCTGTCTCGTCTTTTCCGATCAGAGGGAAAAGAAAAAGAAAATGGAATGGCGATCTTGACATGTCCTTGTTAGGAGCGACTACTGCAACCATATGCTGCACATTCAACTCCTCGTGAAGTCCCCACAGGTGGCATGATGGAGCAAATAACCTGTTTACTAGTTCAATACAACAGAACAGTTTATTTAGCTTGAAATGCCAATCCCAAGCTTATGACATGAGAAAAAAATCTGCACATGCAATTACGTTGAACCTACATGTACATGTACATGTAGGCCTATGTCAGACAATGCTAAGTTCAGTTTTCAGTCATGCCATTGTCGGCCCAAATGAGGGGTACATCATTACGGTACCTGTATTGGTACCAATACTCTTAAAGTGCACTTTTTGAAATTCATCAAAAGAGACACATGTCCGAGGAAAACATCATAACCATACATGTACATGTGCCTGTAAGCCTATCAGCCTCTCATGCCTATTGTAACTTAAACCCGGCTTTCATTATGTTAAACGACAACAAAAACTCAAGTAAATATTTGGTAGGATCACATCTAAGCTGCTTAGTGAGTGAATGAAGGAATGATTACTGGGATTATGTATCCAATATTACTAGAAATGTTCGTTCAGTTTGAAACTAGGCCTAATGAAAGTTACTTAGAAAAATACATTTACATGGCGTTCCCAGTTTCAAGACGACGCTGCTTTTGAATTTTGAAAGAAATTTCAAGACAATAAAACTGCTCACAATGATTAAGCACATGTGTTATGAACCATCATTTCACCAGATGAATTCAAATGTTTCAATAAAAAAGGGTAAAACGAAGTCGAAGTGTGCTAGGCCTACTACAGATTTCCGCCATGGCATTGTCAATGTTAGCTCGCCTGTGTGGAGCCACATGATAATTAATGTTCGACTTCGAAGATCGAGTCACAAAAATAGCCACAATTTGTTCTTTTCACAGATCCTAAGAGACTCTTCAATAAAAATTTGCAGGCTCAGAAGTCTTTATTACATGTACAAATACCTTTTTGTATTTTGTATCTGGAATCCAATTTTCAGTCATAAAAATCCGGCAAAGTCATTCAAGACGGCGAAAGTTGAGAGTGAGTGGCCATGATCCAGTCACTGTGTGTGGATCTAAGAAGATCATGCACGTACAAATGTATGTACACAGGCCCCAAAGCTGACAAATACAGCCTCGCTTTGAACGTGGAAGTGCGCAGATCGTTCCTAAATGCATCGTATTGGGATCCCTCTACAGTCAGGATATTGTGACGTTGGGTTGAGCCTAGGTTCTATACCAAAAGGTAGTGCAGATTCAACAGAATCCAGCATGAACAGTCTGTAATTATGGACAACGGATGTACATGTAGGTGGTCGACATTCACTATGGTAACACAGGAATATAAAAGTAGCTAATACTGGAAAACACTGCTTGTGCACACATTTACACTTATGCCAAGTGCCAAAAGGGATCCGCATCTAACACACAGTCTTGGCTGAACTCTTATTGTTTAAAGCATGTTTTTTTCTAAGTGGACGCTTTACACACAGACTGATACCATATCAAATTGGATTGATCGTACGAGTGGTCTTTTATAAGTCAAAATTAGTTGCATGTACATGGTCTGACTATGGTCTGTGATCTTAATGCCATGTCAGCATGTTGATGTGGACTTGTGGACTCTGGCTTGTATAGAATAAACGTAGATCAGCATTAAAGAATGAGCTCAGGTCAGCACATCACCACACAAATCCCCAAATCCATTCGGTTTATAATAAACAAACAGCATTATATCTTTGTGCAAAAAATATTTCAACCTGGTGGTGCAGCAACTCCATTCTATCGATACGTTTTTTTTGTTCAGCACCTATTTCGTCATCTGGTTCATTCCGTATACTGTTTTTTTTAATATGGAATCTCTGACAAAAGCAATTCATGATATTTTTGAAGTCAATAAAAATGGACGTGTACCAGTAAAATTAGCCCATGAGAAAGTTCAAGCATTATTCCCATCTTCAAGCACTTGCAAAACAGGCAAACTCTTGAAGTCAACATTTGGCCATCAACTTTAAAGGGGAAAACCTGGGAAAACTAAAGGAAATCCATGGCCAGTGTGAGTATATTACAGAATAAAGCTCGCCGGCCCACTTTGCAGCACCGTCATCCCAGAAAGCTGGGCACAACACATCCTTCGACACAATTTGACTTTGCTTCCAGGAGTAGGCAACATCATCGAGAAATCAAGGAAGAGAACTGGGCGTTGAAGGAGAAAATCAAAGAAGTATCGAAGGGACGT